TCAAATAAACTCATGGACAGCAGAGAGATCATTGCTCTTTACGAGCCATTCCAGTTTCTCCACACCAAAAACATCAAACAAAATCATCATTATGGACATGGTTTGTGCGCAGAGCTCAACCATGCTGAAAATGGGTAAATGTTTGTACACAAACAATTGTCAAATAATTATTTGTGTTTTATATATATATATATATATATATATACTATATTATAGTGTGTTGATATACTATATATATATATATATATATATATATATATATATATATATAAAACACTATATTGCCAAAAGTATTGGGACGCCTGCCTTTACACGCACATGAACTTTAAGAGCATCACAGTTTTAGTCCGTATGGTTCAGTATTGAGTTGGCCCACCCTTTTCAGCTATAACAGCTTCAACTCTTCTGGGAAGGCTGTCCACAAGGTTTAGGAGTGTGTCTGTGGGAATGTTTGACCATTCTTCCAGAAGCGCAATTGTGAGGCACTGATGTCGGACGAGAAGGCCTGGCTCGCAGTCTCCGCTCTAATTCATCCCAAAGGTGTTCTATTGGGTTGAGGTCAGGACTCTGTGCAGGTCAGTCAAGTTCCTCCACCCCAAACTTGCTCATCCATGTCTTTATGGACCTTGCTTTGTGCACTGGTGCGCAGTCATGTTGAAACAGGAAGGGTCCACCCCCAAACTGTTCCCACAAAGTTGGGAGTATGAAATTGTCCAAAATGTCTTAGTATGCTGACACCTTAAGATTTCACTTAATTAGAACTAAGGGGCCAAGCCCATCCCCTGAAACACACAACCCTACACCATAATCCCCCCCTCCACCACACTTTACACTTGGCACAATGTCAGGCAAGTACCTTTCTCCTGGCAACCACCAAATCCAAACACGTCCATCGGATTGCCAGACAGAAAAGCATGATTTGTCACTCCAAAGAACATGTCTCCACTGCTCTAGAGTCCAGTGATGGCATGCTTTACACCACTGCATCCGACGATTTGCATTGCACTTGATGATGTAAGGCTTGGATGCAGCTACTTGGCCATGGAAACCCATTCCATGAAGCTCTCTAAGTGCTACTGTTGTGCTATGCTGAAGGCCACATGAAGTTTGGAGGTCTTTGGCTATTGAGTGTGCAGACAGTTGGCAACTTCTGCGCATTGTGCACTTCAACATGCGCTGACCCGCTCTGTCATTTTACGTTGTCTACCACTTGGTGGCTGAGTTGCTGTTTTTCCCAGTTGCTTCAACTTTGTTATAATACCACTAACAGGTGACCGTGGAATATTTAGCAGCAAGGAAATTTCACGGGTAGACTTACTGCACAGGTGGCAACCTATCACAGTACCACGCTTGAATTCATTGAGCTCCTGAGAGTGACCCATTTTTTCACAAATGTTTGTAGAAGTAGTCTGCATGCCTAAGTGCTTGATTTTATATACCTGTGGCCATGGAGGTGACTGGAACACCTGAATCTAAAGATTTGGAGGAGCATCCCAATACCTTTGGCAATATAGTGTATACTGTATATAGTAACACATTTATAGGCCATTATTGGTTTTCAAGCTTAAAGATACAGATGCTGTATTAGTTTCAGGAAAATGGTATCAAATATGGAGTATTATGTATGGATCTATGCCTGTAATATAGCAGCAAGACATTAGATTGGCTTCTACCTGTTGCTTAGATACAGCACTGAGTCTAGGGTGACATATCCTGCCATTGTGAAGTGTTCAATATATTGGTTCATCTTGATGGCCTCCAACCACTCCTCCACACTGGTCACTGTAAATGAGTCAGTCAAGCTTGGGTCCTGCCTGCAAAGACGTCAATTGAAGTAAATCAACTGAATACATTTTAGAGGCTACAGCTTAAAGTAGAACTATAGGCAATTCTTTTTCATTTTGCATAGAGTAAGGGAGGGCTATAACTCCTGTCAGTTTTTTGTGCCATCTGTGTCCCATTGGGGAGATTTACCTTTACTTCCTATCCCGTAGCCAAAATGTGAAGTGAAAGGGAATCTTTGCACATTAAGGGAATCCCTTGCCTTGCACCCCCCCCCCCCCCCCAAGTTGACCAGAAGTAGTGTTCCTTTTGGAACATTTCCTCTCTATTACTCTATTACGTTTCTGGGAACAACCCAAAATTTGTGATTTTATTTTATTTTCACTTTCAAAGGTAATGGTGAACGGGACAAATAGAGAGAGTGAATATCAGACAGCGAAAAAAAACCTGACAGGTGTTCTAATCCATCTCTACTATATCTTAAACTAAAAAAAAGTTTTTCCTTTTATACTTTAAGAAATACATATAATGCTCTATACTGTTTATCGAATACTTATGTTCATCATCAATGCTCATTTGACTTCACTTGTAGTACAAGCATGCTCTAACTTAAAAAATCATCCAAATTCTCCCAAGTGATGAAGAAGGGAGAATATAGCTCGACCTAATTCCGCTTCAAATGTAGGGGCAGCTATATCTCCCATGACTTCTATAGCTCCAGTAGTGCTGCACACCACCTAAACTATTTTAGTTACATATAAGAAAGAACATGAGACAGAATGAGGCCTAGACAAGGTAGCAGTTTTGCCCCCCCACCTCCATTCATTTGACTAACACTGATAAGGTCTCCAATAGGCATATAAAAAATCTTCCATAGTTGCATTTTCTACACTGACATGGCCACCTTCTCAAACACTAATTGCCTACAAATGCATCCTCCCTTCAGTGACCAACTGAGCTGTGACCAACTGAACTGCTCTATTCCCTTCGGTTTGTAGGAGCACAAAGATTGAAGCTGGACCTTGTTGACATCCATCAGGATGCACAACAACCAGAACAAAAATTAAGCCATTCCCTATAGCTGTCAAATTTTATCATTCATTCACAAATTGTACCATTCAGTCACTGCAGAAATAAGGAATAACAAATGAAGCTATTCAATACAGAAAACAGTTTTCGCTTGTATGCCAGTTTTCTTTACTCTAGTTAAAGTGTTAGGTTATAATATACAGATGAATTTAACTAAGTGGCAAATTTATGTGTGCCGTTGTGAAAAGATAAAATGTGCATCGCTAGTGAGGCTTAAGGAAAAGTCTACACATCTATGCTATAAAGCAGGTGTGCTCAACCTGTGGCCCATGGTCCTCATTTGGCACTTGGAGCCCTTGGATGTGGCCCTCAACCTCAAACCAGGGAAGCACACTTCTATTATATTCTGAATGCAGGAGTTTTGATGCACGTTCAGAAAGTGCACCACACTCATAAGATATAATAGTAGTCTATGGCAAAGTGCAGCTAACCCCCAGGAAAGCCACAGGTGCACTGTGCTGCACCGGCGGTGAGGGTAAACAGCAGTGAAACAGTGTGAAGGCAGTCTTATAGGGGCTCAGGACAGTAAGAGCTTGTTTACATTTGCAGTTTGGGGATGGTAAAACCCCATAGTTGAGATGTGTTTTTACCACACACCCCCAACCACTGGTGTAGCACCAGAGGACGCAATCATGACCCTGCCCCATGCTCCAGGTGGCCCGTGCAACCTCCCTGTCATTTTCTGTTATACACTTGGACAGGAGGGGCAGTGTGGGTGGCATATACAGGAACCGATCCCCTTTATTTTCCTCCTGCAACTGATAAAAGTCAGTTTCTCTTCCTCTCCCTCCCACTGGCATTTAGAGACTGCAGGGGGAAAATGTTCATTAGGCTATTCAAAATAAAAAAAATTTAATTCTTAACCGTTTTTTTTCATTGTGGCCCGCGACTGGTTACCATATCACTTTGGTGGCCCTCGCTCTTCAAACGGTTGAGCACCCCTGTTATAAAGAATGGTTTCTCAACATTTGCTTCAGTCGCTTCCTATAGTGCATGTTTTCCATATCTCTTTATAAAATAACGGGTGAAATACTTGGTAGGCTTATATTAATTTATAGTGCTTTGTATATATTTCCTACTGGGATCAGAACAAGAAAAAAAAATCTAAAGATGAGTTCCTCCCTCTTAGATTGTAAGCTCTAACAAGCAGGGCCCTCTGATTTCTCCTGTATTAAATTGTATTGTAATTGTACTGTCTGCCCTTATGTTATAAAGCGCTGCGCAAACTGTTGGCGCTTTAAAAATAATATAATAATAATGTTTTCATTTGTTTATCTCAGTAAATATGAAATATTTCATATTAAATGTTATATGTATCTTTTGCAGCCAAAAATGGATCTCTAGCCCACGTTTCTTTTTCTTACCAGGTTGACTGTAAAGGCTTGCTTTAAATTGCCTGTTTTATTAATAGGTCTCAGCAGCAGAAGGTCAAATTACATACACAGCTGAAAAGTCGGAGAAGGGCCAACCAACTACTCTTTGGATACTCCATTGGATTTTTATTTACACTGAGAAAATGAATGTGAATGGCTAGGGCTTGGCTTTAGAACACTCAGAATGTGCTTGGAACAAAATACGTGGCCAGCCTATGGACATTCTAATATTTACATATTCTTAACAAACAGTAAATGAGCTTTAAAAGAATAGTGCTCGCTGTAGCTGTAGGCATTGTGGAGGTATACATTCTCAAGTTCACAACAGAAGCATAAATTACAGTTCATCTCCCTCTTTCCTTAAACTAGCAGCAAGCAATTGGCAGCCTGCCAGTCTTATCATGTAAAGATGCAGTAAGTGTTCACAAGCTGACTGCAACCTAAAAGTCTCTGTTGTGATCTTTGACAATGATTTACTCCCTAGCAGTTGTAGCTACAGAAAAAAATTCTGTGTGGCATTCAAAGTGACAGAAATTGTTTAAAATAAATCACCTAAATAGCAGTTATATTATTCATAAATTGTATCATCTGCTAGTTGTGTACAATGTGATCTGATAACTAGGTACACAAAATTGGACTGTCCCCCTAAAGATTTTTTTTGCATTGTGTATATACACTGTAATCCTCTGCAGTATAAACTTGTAATCTACATGAACAACAATAGATAGTAGCAGTGTAGTGAACAGTAAATAAAACTTACCATGTAGAGCTGTTGGCTAGCTCGCTTAGGCTGCTTGGGGTGCGTATGAATTTGTCCAAAATATTTACAATTTGTCCAAACTTAGGCCGGTCACTTCGACACTTTTGCCAGCAGTCCAGCATGAGCTGATGTAGCACTACAGGGCAGTCCATGGGAGGGGGCAGGCGGTACCCTTCATCTATTGCTTTAATTACCTAAAAAAAAATAACAAATCCATTATTGCTTAGCCAGGCTCATTAATTTCTTTTAGTATACAGAAGGCTTTAAATAGAGGGGATTTTGCTCTTTCATGTTAATTTTCATGAAAGGGTGCAAACCTTTGAAGTGATTAGTAATTGTTATGATGAATATAAAGCTTTTTCAATACTAATTACAGATATTAACTGCATTTAAAATATGAATAGGAAACCATTCAACTTGAAACATAAATATCCAAGTTGTTTGTCCTTTCATATAGAATACATGCTCGCACCGGATAATATGCAATATCCCAATAAACCATTCCAAGTTAGTCTATGGGTGATGTTAGATAAGTGATCCAGTCTCCAGTTAAAATCTACAGTCCCATATAGATTCAGTTCTTGTTTATCTGAAGGAATCCTCTAGTTGGGATAACAATTTTCAGCAAACATAGTGGGGTATGGTCATGGGCAAAGCACAGGTTACCTTTAAAGCCTATTTCTACGTTTCTTAAACCAGTGTTTCTCAACCTTTTTCCAGTCAAGGCACCCTTTAAAATTATGCATAATTTCCAGGCACCCCTAATAGTTTTACATATTGCAGCAGCATCCACACACACATAGGGCACTCAACATTAGTCAGGCTTGATCTACCCGCTGGCTTGTAAACATTTTGTTAGACAATTTGTGACAATTAAGGCATAAGTATATGTGCATGTATATGAACATAATCAATTAGGAGGTCTGGAGCATTCAACCTCTATCAGTTCACCACCTTAATTTTATATTTTGGAAAATATTTGAAGATGGCGCAAGTTTACTTCTAAGCATTTTCAAATACATTGTCACACTGGGAAGTTCATCTAGATTGCTGTATATTGTCAGAATGAATAGCTACAGTGTAACTAGCAAAGTGATCCCAATTTGCTGTATGTAGAAGTTTTCAGTCCTTGTTGGGTACAGTAGAAGCAAACAGTATAGCAAAACAAGAATTGTATTTTTTGTCTTCAATGAAAAAAAACATGTGACCATGGTATAAGATATTTTATTACATAACTCACATCTTGGTTGGACATTTCCCAGTAAGGTCTTTCTCCATAGGATATTACCTCCCACATCACAATACCATAGCTCCATACATCACTTGCTGATGTAAATTTCCTGTAGGCAATGGCCTCTGGGGCTGTCCATCGTATGGGGATTTTACCACCCTTATGGAAAAGAACATTAACCATTAATACAACATATACAGCAAAGAAACCAGATGCCTATCACTTGTTCCTACAATGATTCCTTATTTCCAGTATATTCCCTAATATAATACAATCAGGGAACTGCATATTGAATACAACAAACCAGGGCACCTGAACATAATTAGAATAACAAACAATACGAAATGTAATACAGATTATTAACAGTGGTAAGATAAGAATTCAAATCTAATAAAAAAAAAACAGAATATTGTTTTACTCAACTAACACGGTTCATTTTTTTTTTTTTGCAGTAGGAGAACAGACAGTAACATTAAACAATATTTAAAGGATAAGTTCACTTTCGGAACGTGTTACATGTTCCACCCTTTTTTAGAGTGGAACATGTAACATGTCCCTGCTCCTGCAGTGGCTCAGTGATCTGAGCCCTGTGTGTGACAGCAGTACTGGGAGAGGTTCCCCATGCCAGGTGTTACTTTTTAAAAAGAGTGTGGCTGTCCGAGGCTCTGTCCACATGGCTGCATCATTCATTCATAGCATTGAATGAATGAATCAATTACAAGTACTGACATTCTTTGTGGATATTGGTTTGTAGTTCACAATGAATTACCATGGCAATGTTGAGCGCTGTGGTAGTTCATTGATTCTTCCTGTCAGTGTGAAACTGCCTGCCCATATGATGTATGGGTAAACAGATTACATTGACAGTCTGCAGGAGTCCTGCATGACACCAGCGATCTGCTGATGGCTGGTACAATGTTTCCAAGCTCCTATTTTTACATTAACGTGCATTTTACATTTATGTGCATTTATATTTTTCTTAAAGGTGAATGTATCCTTTAATCACCTGTGCCTACCACAATAGTGAAATAATTATTATAACACATGTATAGACAAATGTAAATCACATTCACATATTTATTGCTCATGTTTGTGCATTCTATTTATTTGTTTCATGACTGTTGTAGTCACAGGTAAAAAAAAAAATTAATTGCTTTAATAATGCTAAGCGCTACAATGATTAAAGTAATCTTTGCTACAGGCTTATTTTGCATTGGTGACAGTAGCAGTTGCAATAAAGAGGTTTTTTGCCACTAATTAGCATAGAGATAAGACAGTTTTAAGCATACAAACTGAATAAAGTAAAGAACTGTGAATTGATTGATAAATTAGAAAGCAGTGAAAACAACAGGTTAACTCTTAGGCAGGCCATAGATGGTGCAAATTTCTTTCCTGCAACCCATGTTAACAGGAGAATCCCTCCCGCCAAGCCATTGTGTTCCCCCGGTGGGGAGGGGGGGAAGCCATCCACACCAGGAGAAGACAGCTATAACAGCCTCCTGCAATAATAGCATGTAAAATGGTTGTACCCCAGTTGACTTGATCGATTCAGTCTGCCTATATGTGATTTGAATCATGGCCAGTTATTGCAGAACAGAACAATCTACTGTATGGCCAGCTTATGGCCTAATGCACATTAATGGTAAGAGGCTGAAAACTGCACTAGCGCACCACCTGGGGAGCTGCAGGTGGCACAAACAGCTGACCATATAAGTGAATAGCTGTTTGAACCCATATTCATGTAAACACCAATATTTCTCTATATAGCCATTTCCATGCTCATATGTCATATTTCCCTCATTTTTTAGGTTCCACGTTGAAACATCGAGCTCAGTGACTAGCTTCTTTGCAGCTGTGACCTTCCAAACTGTATACCAAAGAACCACTTTTATGATATTTACATATTCTTTTCTTTTCTGTTTATTGATTGATTTTTTTTTTTTGGATGGTCCAGTTATGCTTATCTCAGTCCAGGGGCTGATTTGCATAGATATTTCATTACCCAGAATGCTTTGTAATTTATTTAATGGGAAATAATAAAAATGGAACAGTATAGTTAAAGGATAATCTGGAGACAATGTTAGAATTTATTTGTGAACCTAGCTGATGCAATAGTATGGCCATGAGTTTTTGTATATCTTACCCTTGTGGTATACGCTGCTTCAGGGTCATCCTCGAGGACTCTAGAAAGACCAAAATCTGAGACTTTGCAGACCAAGTTGCTGTTGACTAGTATGTTTCTGGCAGCCAAGTCTCTGTGGACGTAGTTCATATCTGATAAATATTTCATTCCGGAAGCTATGCCTCTCAGCATTCCTACTAACTGTATCACTGTGAACTGGCCATCATGTTTCTAGAAGATAAAAAATTTACATTGTTGTCAGATCTTGGGGATAACTAACTCACACACGAAAAGTTTTTAAAAGACTTAACAACTTTGAAGATTTCAGGCACAATGTTTTTTGTGGTCTGTAATCCAAGTAGCTTCCTTTTTATTCCCTTTCGCCTTCTACTCTTTATGGCTATACTACACCTGAGTTTTTAAAGGAATGCATTATGGGTCTTAATAGCATTTTTTACATTTTCAAGACAAGTAGAAACAGCATGAGCAGGGATGCATGAATAGAAAAAGTAGGATTATCTTTACAAATAAATAAAACATTATGGGTACATGTTCTGTGGAGTTGCATATATTATTATGGAAAATTGGGAGACTGAAGGATGCAGATATAAGCACATTAGCAAAAGACAAAAAGAAAAGTTAAAATACTTTAATTGGTATTAGTGAGTGGCACCACCTGTTAATCTTGCTCTGTTTTTTTAAAGGATAAGTTCATCTTTCTAAAAAAAATTTACATTTTGTTTTTTTTTTTGTAGGAGACTGTAAAGATTTGCACCCATCATTGACAGATCACGGGTGCAATGCAGGGCTTCTGCAGACTGTCTGTGTAAGCTGTCTGCCCATACCTCATATGGGCAGGCAGTTACACAATGAGATGAATGTTCAAGGAACATCCTGGAGTGCTCACTAGCGCCCTGGTAATTCTTTGAGAACAACAAGCCATCAGCCGCAAAGGCTGTTTGTACTTGTACTTCATTCATTCACAGAACTCTGTGAACTTAATTACGTGGTTGTGTAATCAGAGCCCTGCATGGCTGAGTTCTTTTCAAATTGTGCCTGGGGTGCGAGGAGAAGATCCCCGTCCCGTTGTAAAAATTAGTATTGGGGGAAGGCTGCAGGAGCCGGAACATGCTACATGTTCCCAAAGGTGAACTTATCCTTAAAACTAAGCTAAAGAGGCAAACCTTCCAGGATTTGACTTTTTCATATACAGAGCAGTCATTCTCTACATTATAGCTTAAGGTGATTGTAGCTGTATTAGTGCACTTGCAACAGAAACAATTGAGTACTGTCCGTGATAGTTTTTTATTTGCACTAACATACAATTTTCAGGACAAGCTTTTGGGGTATGTCCCCTTCTTCAAGGTCCAAGCAGTACTCAAGTGTACTGCTTGGACCCTGAAGAAGGGGACATACCCCAAAAGCTTGTCCTGAAAATGGTATATTAGTTCAAATAAAAAAAGTATCACGGACAGTACTCAATTGTTTCTGTCTACATTATAGAAATACTTATTTTTGTTGATGCTCTGATATCAGAATCTGCTCCTTTCAACCTTAAATTGGAACTATGGTTAAAAAATTACATATTATGCAGCTTGACAATGGCACTAAACTCCTGATGTATGGTTTTCCTGTAACAGGTCGATCTATCCAGCAGAAATGGCTATTATAGTGTGAACAAACCATATTACACTGGTGGGGGTACTTACAATTGTCAGCCTTTGTTAATATGGCATAAAAAAAAATGCCGATACAATTGCTTAAAACTGAACTGAAGGCATTGTTTGTAGTGCATACTATAGTTGCATTGGACCAATGAAAATATGCATAATCCATTCCTATGGGATCTCCGTGAAAGCTGGAAATCACTGTAGTGGTCACTGCTACTACAGTGAACTGCACAGTGTTTTTGGTCCAGTGTTGCCCTTTTGCACAGTAACCACAGGATGTTGTTCACTCAGTACAGCTCTCAGGCAGGGAATGTTTTGCATTTTTTTCAGTGCAAAGTGTCTTCTAAATGGATGAGGTGGAGAGGTGGGATAGTGATATCATGATCTGCATCTTGATCAGTTAGAAGCACTTTACATTAATTCATAAAAAAATAAGCTCTCTGAGTGGGGCCTGTGTAGTTACTGTGCAGTACCAGCTTCTAGAGGGAGCCCACAGGTATAGATCTAGTCTGGACCAATACAACTATACAATACATACTATACCCTAGAATTCAACTTTAAAATGTCTTGATTTACCAGGTAAAATGAAGACATTTACACGTCTGCCTTGTATAAATAATAATATATTTAATGATGTACTAATAATTACAGAGCTACATTTATTTGTATCTATAATCTCTACATGGAGTTTAGCATTAAGACAATCTTTCTAATTTTATTTAAGTAATAATAATAATATTAATTAATATGTTTTCCTTTACAGTAACAGTGAACATGTATGACAGTTGAATTCAAAAACAACCTAAAATGTGTTAATATTTTGCACTGTTTGTCATAATGTGTATGCTTTCCAAGTCATCAACTATGTTTTTAAAATAACTAAAATTGTGAAATCATATATACATAGTATATAAATGTATTAGTTAATTCAATTGATGGAGAGGGGTATCGGAATCTGAAGTATATATTAGTTACACTTTCGGAAAGCCCTGCACCAATTTATTTGCTCAGTTTTATTACTGCACAAACATCACATTCAGAATTTTTTTTTTAAATAATAAAAAGTCTGCTTGAAATCTTAACATCACGATATTTTGATGTTTTGAATGGCACATAATGTTCTCCTCAGACCCTGACACTCCTGTCACTTATTCTCCATCTCACTGAGGAATCATTACCATCAGGCTCTGCGCACAGTACATTGATGGTATCATGAAGATATACAATGCATGAACTCTGAGCATAAAAGAATCTGCAGAGACCTGGCTCTGGGGGGAGAGCAAAACTACGTACTTGTGTTTATCCTGGCGAATAGAGCATGAAGCCACAAAGTCAAGCTTTGTAACAAAGCAAAATGAGAATGGCCCAAAGTAATATAGGGAATGAAGCAGTGAAAATGGATGCACCACATTGGGGAATAGACCAAATGTACAGAAAAATAACCAACCAAGTAGGTAGGGTTATTGATGCAATCTTTTTCATAATGAATGGTAGCGAGAAACTGATTATCTCATACCCTGGGAAGGTTTATCCAGCTCTGCCTTGTTGCATTATGAAATATTATATACAGAAGGTAATAAACTGAACTGTTGTTGGTATAAGTAAATGTTCTGAACACATTTGCTTAGCAGAACTACATGCAAACAAAGGTAGTTAAGCTATCAGTACATTTTTGAGGATAGGTCAAAAACTAAAGTGTACTGGCTAAGTGGCTAGCAATTTTCTTTTTTTTGCAATGCTTTAGTCCTAGGTGTGATTCCTGCCAAGCTCTATTCAATCCTTAAGAAATTGCATTCTGACCAAAATGGCTGAGTAGCTGTAGTGCTAAAAAGTAAACTTTTTTTCCTCTTTAATCTTCGAATCAAGAGACACATTTTTTATTTCCAGATACTGCCCAACAAATCAGTTCTGTTTTTCTTGCTTGTTGGTCAGGAAAATTTTAATCCAACTTAGTTACATATAACCTGACAAATCTCGTCATCTTTCATTGTGGCCTAATAAAAACACCTAAATGGTATGCAGAATGGCTTGAACTATGTCTGGCTCTTTTCTGTGAAAAACATTAAGTGATTTTTTTTTCAGAACCACATATGACTTATCTTTGGCAAGTAAAAATGTAGCAATGCTCTCTTTGAAATATAATACTCCTATTTCTTGAAAAAAATGAACCAATAATTTTTTGTTTGCCTTAGCAACTCTCTCATATCTGGAGGGTGGGTTTGTGGTTTTGAGGTGCTTTGTAAACAATAAAGTGGGGTGCCAAAAAGATCACAAGCTGTTTTGTGACTTGCTTTGACACTGTGGGAGAGATTTACTAAAACTGGTGCACACAGAATCTGCTGCAGCTGTGCATGGTAGCCAATCAGCTTCTAACTTTAGCTTGTTTAATTGAGCTTTGGCAATAAAACCTGGAAATTAATTGGTTTCTATGCAGCGCTGCACCAGATTTTGCTCAGTTTTAGTAAATAACTCTGTCAATTTGTATGAAATTTGTATGAAATTGACAGTGTTAGCTTTATTTTCTTTCAGTGTATATACTTTTCGATATTGCCCTTGCTACTTTAAGTGCTCAGTTATGGTCTATCACTGCTACACCAACAATTACTATCTTTGAAAAAAATACTTTAAAACCTTTTATTTAAATCAACCATATTGGTTTGCTGCTGCTTTATGTAAGCCAATGTAAAATGTGAAATAAACTAAATTATTACACATGCAATTTATGTAATGCTACAATACAGCATGGCTGGTCTGGTGCTGTCCTGAGAATTGTAATGTATCATTCAAACCATGTACTTTACATCTTTAAGGCATCCCCTCAACATGTAATTTGAAGGATTTTTGTATTTTCAATGTTGCCCTTTAAGCTGTCTGAAAAGACCCTCTCCCCGCTGAACAATATATTAAAAAACATGTTTTATTGGTACTTGTCCCCCAGGCCACTGCTCAGTTTCCATTGCCCTTCTTGGAAATCCCTTGCCTCGGGCCAGAAAATGAACTTTAATGATTTCTAAAATTAAGCTTCTATTTGCTTCAGACTGATTTAGATTGGGGATCCATACTTTTGTTATGTTTGCATTATCTGCATCACACCAAACCCAGAAACATCCTGGGCTCATCCCTACCTGTAGGTTGTACATGGCTTGTCCTCAAAAACATCCCCCATCCTGCCACCCCCATCCCCATCCTGCGTAAATGGCTGGGCGCTACAAGCGCACTCCCAAAACTGGGCTCATTCAAAGCCCATACATGCAGTCAGTGATCTCTCCCTCTGTAGCTGCAGTAGCAAAGCTCAAGGAGAGAGAGACTCCATACTACACATTTACGACTTTGAACAAGCCAATCTGGTGAGCTTGTAATGTTCTGCAATTTAGCTAGGATGTGGGGGGGTCTGAGTTTTTGTGGACTGGCTGAGTACGGTCCTTTGGTATAGAACGCAAAGGAACACTTTTTTAAAAACCTGAAAAGCAAATTTTATCAAGCTCGGGATACTGCAGTACATGGGGTAGGTTGGTGGAAAAT